TCTCCTTCTTCTTCTTCCTCTCCTCCTCCTCCTCCTTCTTCTTCTTCTTTGAGTAGGAAAAGTTTATTGAGGGAAAGAAAGCTTCTGTCTAAGAGAGACAGAAAGGGGACCAGAAAGTGGGTTACTCGCTCACCCTAATTTTCAAAGATGTTTTACACAGCAAAGCCATGTGATGAGGTGGGTACAAAGTGGGACAAAACTATGGCAACTAATGGAAAATTGCAAGGTGGGCATGAGGTGGGGCAAAACCATGACCAACCAATAAGATTACAAGTACAGTCACCCAGGTAATATTGATTAAATTAGCCCCCTACCTAGGTGAATGAAACCTATTTAGAATATCAGTCACTGCTATTCATCCCTGTGAGAAGCACAAAGGTATAGTAGTTTCTCTCCTTCTGCAGTTCTGGCCTTCAGTGAATGTGACTTGATTGTCTTCCATGTTGGCTCCTTAAAGGCAGCCCTGTCTAACTGCCTACAAGACATCTAATTAACTCACCTATCTGCAATATTCCCCCCTCTGAAGATGTACCCCTAACTTCTGTTAGTGGGGCAAAGGGTGAAGATAGCTCTGGCTACTTCCAGCTGAAGACGGTTGTAGTTGTGATCAGCAGTTAGAGTTACTCTACAGAGGGTCTATCTAAAGGCCTTCAGTAGGTGCCTGGCATTGTCATCTTGGTAGCTGCACAGCTTTTAAGTGTGGAGGAGACAAAGACAAAGAAACAGTTAAGAATGCATGGGCCAGATTATAAGGTCAGCAGGATTGCTATGAATATAGCCAACAAAGAGAATAATGAGAAGGTCCAGGGGTCTTCAGGATCCAACATAGTAATCATATTGCATAGTTTAGCAGTTATGAACTGTTTCTAAGGTAGATCTGGTGGATCCCAGTAAAAGAAGTCTAACACATTTGTCTTTGGTTCCATTTGTATGACCACTTGGAGTTTGGCAGCCTCTAGGGGAGAATAAAAGAAACTTTTAAGTAATTAGAGTATGCATAATCTAAGCATGAGTACACTAGAATGAAAGGGCAGGTTAGGGAGAAAGTCATCTTAGAAATTGAATAGTAATTAAACCTGCTGATCTTAGAAGTCTCTCTAGTTTTAGCAGTAAGAGACAATTTGAAGAACAGCTTTCACTAATATAAAATTCTAGCTGAACTCTTACAGATTTTACTACATTTTTTTTCCCCTAATGATCCATATCCATGGTCAGCTACTGGTAGAGCTGGAAGCTGCCAAAGGGAGTCAGTGACTGGTCCCCTTTCTATATCTAGCTTTATTACTATGGCATTATTTTATAGCTCTTTTGGTTACTCTTTTCTGCTGGGTATTTAAGACCAAGTTAAAGTGAGACCTATATCAATCAACATGAACCTCTTGCTGTCTAGCAAGGTCAGTTGTGTCTCTTCAGGCAGTATTGTGGAACCAGGCATAGAGCTTCTCAGCTCTTCTGTCAGCGTCAGCCGTCAGGATGGGTCACGGCCTTGCTTGACCATGTTGCTTTCAGTGAAAGCGTGGGAGACTTTCCCCTCATGGTGACCCTCCTTTGGCACACAGTGTATTTTTTCTCTGGTGTCCAGCAATCTCCCTGATCAGAAGGTTGAGCGACTTACCAAAGTCTTCATTTTTTTAATGATATGGAGAAAGGGATAAAAATGCTAGATGGGATTCAACCAATCCTTGTTTAATTATTTTCTTTCTTTTCCTTTCTTTTGCTTGGTCTCCTTGTATTGTTCAAATTGACATTGCACTCATAGGCTCAAGGATCCTTTTGCCTCAGCCTCCCAATTTTCTGAGAGTACAAACATACATCGCACCCAAAGGCATCAGGGTGTAAAGACATTTATTTTTATTTATTTATTTGTACCTGAGATTGGGATTAATTGGCTGCAAGGTAAATTGTCTGAGGCCAGGGATTTGGCTCAGTGGTTCTGCCACTACCTGAGATTGAACTCAGGCTCTTGTGCTTACAAGGCAGGTGGCAGAACCACTGAGCCAAATCCCTGGCCTCAGACAATTTACCTTGCAGCCAATTAATCCCAAAGTGCCACTGATGGTTCACAAGACACGGCAAGATTTAAAACAGGAAGTTTAAGGAAGACAAGGGTAGTACGGAAGAGGACAGAAGAAACAGAAAAGGTATTAGATCTGGAGCTAAGAGGAAAAAAATAAAAACAGCTTAATTCTGTAAGAAAACACAAATCCATAGGATAGCTCACACAGGCGGAGTTGCTGTGGAAGCACATTCCAGGAAAATCTTAAGAGATTACTTTAATAATAAACCACACATTCTTCAGCAAGCCATCATGGGATTAACTACCCCTTTCCTAGGCTGAGAGCACAGTCCATTTTATGTATTTATCTTTCCTTCTCTCTCACAGACAAGTTTTGTATAAAGGACAACTGTCATGTGAGGACCATAGCTGTGCAAACATTGCACTGAATTTTCTTCACTTTAATTTTCTAAACATGAATTTTGGTGGCAACAAGGCCCTGACTTCCCCAGATGAATGTCTGTGTGGGTTTTGGTGTCTCCAGATGCAAAGATGTTCATTTTAGACCTCCTGAAAAGTGAACAATGTGCGTGTGACAGGAAACAGCATTGCCCAGGATAAAACGTTAAATTTATTTTCATCCTTTTTTTTTTCTTAGTGTGAGGAGGACATTGAATTACTGCCAGAAGCAATATCAGCACCCTAGAGATACAAAAATATACTTCAAAACAGAATTTTATTCTGTCAAGTCTTAGGATTTCTGTGTAAAACAAGAAGTGTCCGTTTTAAGCTGTGTGCAAGCCCACTGCTTACGAATAAACTGTTTTCACCAAAGTCTTTCTCTTCAAACTACAGCTCAGAGCAGATGAAATCACCTTTCTCCTCTGGCTTTTGAGACAAATCCCTTCCATTTGATAGCAGACATCAAGCACAAGTTAACATTCTTTAAGAGTCTCTGAATTTAAAAAAATAGGTGTGGGTAGGCTGGGACCTTTTCTCTTCCTGAGGGGTGTGTGTGTGTGTGTGTGTGTGTGTGTGTGTGTGTGTGTGTTTGTGTGCGTTTGGTTTATTTTATTTTTCTTTGTCTTTTGCAGTGCTAGGGATGGAACCCCAGGGCCTTACGCATTTTAGCAAGAGCTTTACAACTGAGCTACACCCCCAGCCAGAGTGTACACTTTTGAGTTGGGATTAATTGACTGCAAGGTAAATTGTCTGAGGCCAGGGATTTGGCTCAATATTGCATATCGAGGTTGAAAATGATCCTTTTTTTTTTTTTTTGCACTGTCAAAGCCTCTATTTGTCTGAAATCAGATAGCCTTTTGGGTAACTATTGTCCTATTTGGCCTTTAGAAGGGAAGCCATCTCTCTAGACTTGTAGATTTTAGAAATAAAGTTACTATGTCCTCAGTAGTAACAGAATTAAAATTCTCTGCCTAAATGTTACACATATTTTCACTAAAATTTTAGCACTAAAATTTATATTCTACTTGTCATTCACACCGTCTTTTTTTTTTTTTTTAATAATAGCAAATTACCTTAGAGCAATATGGAAAACTGTCAGCACCACTCTCTCAACTCCTGCACGCCCAGGTGTGGCAAGATGAACCCCTAAGCAGGAGCAGCAAGGGCCAGGGGACTGTGCTCCCACCCTCAGCCCGCACTGCGCTCTGGCTGGTCTCAGCCTGACCTACTTAAGTGGGGGAGGCGCGCCACTCACAGCGAACTACCCCAAAGTACACGGCGCTGCTGTAGTCCGGAGTAGGCAAGGACCACAAAATACACCCTTGGTGTCCCATTAGCCAGATTTGAACCCGCAATTTCCAGCGGTAAAATACATATCCATTGTGTTACTTATTCAATAAAATCAATAACCCCCTCCCATCCAAGTCACCACTTGGCATTTTCATATTTAGCGTATTCTGCCTCGTATTAAAATAAATAAATAAATAAAGGCAGGAAGACAGACATAGCTTTCAGAAGAACAATTTCATAATATTTACAAGCACCAGGGCTTCTACGGATGTTTTACGGTTGTTCCTGACTTTTAAGTATGAAGAAAATGTGAATTCCTAGGTTATAATTGTTCACTAAAATATGCTGTGCAGTCCCCTCTGTTGAGCAACGTCAATACGTATTTTTAAATACTTTATCTCCACATTTCATTTTTTTTATGACGGGGAAAACACATTGGAAATTAGTGCAGATTAAGTCGTACGTCTACGTATGGATGGGGATGCAGTGTCTACAGCCTTGTTCGTATCAGACATACACCTCGTTTAGACAGAAGACACCGCTGTGAACATGTTTTGTTTACACCGATTGCATAGTGAGAATGTTGTCTTCGTATCTGTACATGACAGATTAAATTTCCCACACAAACGGCGTGTTTTTCCTATGCGCTGGTAGATTTCCCTCCACTTTCAGTGCACGCACATCCGAGATGAAGGAGACAACCACACATTCAACTTTAGGAACAGCCGAGCTATCCGAGCTGGGACCCACTGCCCGTCCGGAAAGAGAGTTGCAAAGGCAGCTCTTTGTGCCGCGAGGGCCAGGAAGGGTTGGGGAGACTTCGCGTGCCACATCACTCAAAGCGGCGATCCAGGGAAGGATCTGCGAAACGCAGCCTGGCGGATCCCACCCCTTCCCTCCAG